AGTTTGAACTTGATCAATCCAGACATGTCTCGGATACGGATCCAGAACTGAATTCTTTAAAACAAAATGGCCGCCAGTCGGCCATTTCAAACCCGATCCAAAAAAAAATGACGTGCATCAAGGTCCTATTATGTTTAATGTATGTACCAAATTTGAACAAAATCTGTCCATGCATAACTGAGATCCGGGTCCGGAATGGTGAAAATGTGCGATTTTGATGCATTTTCGGCCTTAAAATGGCCGCTATTCGGCTATCGTTAATCGGATCATGATAAAAATGCATGTGCATATGTCCCATATAAGGTGTGATGTATGAGTGAAGTTTGAACTTAATCGGTCCATGCATGTTCGAGATACAGGTGATCACGGACGCACGCACGGACGCACGCACGGACGCACACAGGGCAAAACATAAGTCCCCGTTTTTGGACTACGTCCGAACGGGGACTAATAACATTGGAGTTAGAAATGAAAAAGCAGTACTACACACAGTGCGGTGATGACATGTTTTTGTTTTGTGCCTTCCTCGGTTTTAGAATACGTACATCTAGCGCGTACAAGACATGGACGCCCACTTTTAGAGAACGTGGGACGTTTTTAACGCGCACTTCATAATAAATAGATGGAGTATGACGCGTCTCAAGCTGGCCAATAGGTGTTCGCCATATAGAACATGTGATCATCAATTTCTCGTCCAATGCTCCTATCATTTTGTACGTGTACCATGCTTTTCATAGCATTATACAGGGGGGCAAGGGGTAGCTTGTACAGTTTTACGGGAAATAAAAAGGGCTTTTTACAATTTACAAGGAAAAAAAGACGTTTTTACAGTTTACAGTGAAAATTTTGCAATGAATTGTGTCATCTAGTCGTTTTACAGTTTCGAAAATGTAATTTCCCTGGATTATTCTTTACGATTTTTTATTTGGATGTAAATTCTTGTACGTACCGAGAAAAATGACACATATTTACTGTGTACGAAAAAATATTTGATTGATTACGTTGTACGTCTAGCCTGTGATTACAGAATTACGGAATTTATTTTTTTCAATTTACGTTGTACGAACAAAAAAATATTGCAATTACGTTGAACGAAAATACCCCTCCTCCAATTATAGTGTATGTTTGGCGTTTATAAAAACAAGGTGTACATCATGGTAAATTATTTAGAAACATATTTCAGTATTCTGGGCTCAATATTAAATGTTTGCTGTAAAATCCAGTCACTTCGATAATCGCTGCTGTGCTAACTACTCTTCATGGTGTATCGCGGTAACTAGATGTGTAGTTGCCGATCTGTGCATAGTTAGTTTCAGAACGGACGAAATAATCTTACCGTCGATAAAATACGATATAATTTGTAAAGAAAGTACAATATTACAAGATTACACACGCATTGGAATGACCCACTGACGTTTTCACAACTGTGTTCACAATTGCAGGAGCAATGATTGTTAACTAAAATAAAAACTATAATGAGTAGGGAATTATGTAAATTTCATTTCAATACAATTCAATCTAAATCAGTGCATGGTTTTCTTGAAAAAGAAAAGAACTGAACAAAATGTATAAACGCTATCG